CAGGTACGCGAGGAGGAGGACAAGAATAACTTGAGCGGGGTTGAAGGGCGCTATCTGGACACTGTGTTGCACCCGGATCTGCTCAGTTACTTGCGTGACGTGAGATGCCGTGGCCTATCGGCACGCTATCTTGGGGAACGCACCAGGTGCCACGCCAAGCTGCACCCAAATGGCCGCCGAAACCTGGCGCAGGTCTACAGGCAGATCTGGAAGGACGTGAGCAAGCTTCGTGTTCTCGTGGTTCCGTCGGAGCTTGAGCTCGGGCCAGTGGTGTCCAGCCCCTTTGACGCCGTCGACAAGATGCTGCCCGACCGCTCCATCGCGCCGGACAAGCGTATCGTTCACGACCAACGGGTCATCAACGAGGGCACCCACAAGGAGTGGCATCCCCCGGCAATTCAACCGAGGCACGAGCAGGTGGCGCGGCTTGTTCTCTGTGCTAAGAGCCTAACTGCCGGGCATTGAGGTGCTGATGAGCAAGAAGGATGTGGCCGGCGCTTTTCGTCTCCTGTGGGTCGACCCGGGCGACGTGGAGCTGTTTGCGGGGGACTTGCCGTGGGTCCCGGAGGAAATGGAGGAGGGCGAGCCAGTGGACCACGTGGCGATGACGATCGTCTATTTGGTGAGCTCATTCGGGTTTTCGGGGTCACCTGGCGAATGGACGGTCTGGGGCAAGGCTACGGAGGAGTTCTTGAGACAACATTGCCCCGCGTGCCCGCGCCGGGACCTATCCTGGGGCTTTGAGAGCCGCATCCTTGTGGATGACAACGTGCTGGTGGAGCCAATGGTTGGTTTGAGGCCCTGGGTTGCAAGCGAGGTTTACGAGCTGGGGGTGAAGACGCTACTGGGCGAGGCCGCTGTGAACTGGGAGAAGGACCTGATTGAAGGCCCGTTCCGCACGTTCCAAACGGTGTGGGGCCTCGACATGGACACCGCCACGGAGGAGATCCACTTGCCCGAGCGGAGGATCATCAAGGGCGCCACCCTGTTGAATGAGCCGGCGTTTGAGTATGGGAACAAGGACCTCACTGTTCGGGCTGTGCAGCGTTTCCGGGGCATAGCTACGGGTTGGACAGTCATTGTCAAGGGCTTGAAGAACGAGTTGAAGGCGGCCGATCGCTTCATCGGCGGAGACCGTGACGGAGGTGCAAGAGTCGAACCTAAGGTCACCGACCCCGCGGACGAGGAGGCGATCGACGAAGCTTGGCGCGACTTGTGGGAGCTCTTTGAAGAGTCAAGATGGTTGTGTGCAAGGCCGGAAACCTGGTCGGCAAAGTTCGGCGCTGGTATGCGAGAGCTTCTTCCAGTTCGTGAACGGTTGGCTCTACCGGGAGAATGGGAGGCGGGCACCGTGTTCGTCTCTTCGGACGCGACCAAGACGATGATCGCCGCGATCGACTGGACCAACGGCCAGGTGATGCGAATGCCCGCCAGGGCGGCGGCGGCCTGGGTTCAGCAGTGCGGAGATGAGGATGAGGTCGCGATCCACGTGGCTGA